AATTGAACATTCGTAAATTTTGCCACAATTATACAAAATGCCATTTTCTGGATTTGCATGGATTTTTTTTTTCTAAAAATGATCTAAATAGATATAAGAAGATGTGGTATGAGTGCAAATGAGACAACTCTCCATCCAAGTCAAAATTTATAAAAGTAAACCATTATAGGTCACAGTACGGTCTTCAACACGGAGCCTTGGCTCACACCGAACAGTAAGCTATAAAGGGCCCCAAAAATTACAAGTGTAAAACCATCTAAACGGGGAAACCAACGGTCTAATCTATATAAAAAACGAGTAACGAGAAACACTTATGAACCACATCAACAAACGACAACTACTGAACATCAGATTCCTGACTTAGGACAGGTGCAAACAAATGCAGCGGGTTTAAACGTTTTAATGGTACCAAACCTTCACCCTTTTTCTGAAACAATAGTGTAACATCACAACATAGAAAGACACACTATAAAATATCAACTGAAATAGCTTAACTCATTCAAAGGACATATTAACACCATTGAACATACACTGAACAAATAAATTTGACCTATGACACAATGTAAATACAAAATAAATAAACTAAGGGAAGAATAATAAAAGTAACATGTTATATCGGTAAGAAATGTTAAACAATTAAAGAAAACCAATATGCTCGAACAAAAATATCAGCCATTTGCAATAACTTTAAACACAGGTAAATGAAAATAATTTTGTTTGTTAGGTATACGTGTACAGTACCAATAGAAGAAGGAAATATTTTTACAAAATAAATAATTTTGATGTTCATATTACGAAGTGAAATTTATAGTTATACCAAACACTTATCAAAGCTGGTATATAGACCAGATATAACCCTGAATAACATTAAATAACAAAAAAGCAATACAATTAGTATCAACAGGTCAAATAAACAAGAAAGTACGATTTGAGAGTACTCGCAGTTACTGACAGCTAGTTAAAAGCCAAAACAATTAATAATAAAAAATCATGCATCAGAGACTAAAATCAACTAAAACACATCCCAGGGATTTAGTATTTTAACGTCATGAACAGTCAAAGAAGACATGACTAGTGCAATGCCAAAAATAAATGTATCGACAGACAGTAGGATAGTTAGGAGTTTAACATCTTTATAGATCAAAACGAACGTGGGTGTGTCTTTATACATCCCGTTTGAAAAACAAAACAAATTTAGTTATGTTTTAATTTGCTGATGACAAAATCGATATTAGTGCCAATGTAAACTATATTCACCTTATAAAACAAATTACCATTATTCCAAATCAAATGCAAACTTAAATGTTGATTGAGCTTTATTTACAGAAAATTGCATTTATAAAAAAAACTTCAAAAAATCACAAAATTGCAACAAAATCTAAATATTTTCTGAAGTTTGAATATTTGTATGTCAAAAATACAAAAAAATTTGTCGTTTATAGGCCGAGGAAATTTTTTTCATCATTTTAAACTGCAACTAATATAATATATGTCAAAATGCAGCCTTCTAATGACGCTTTTGCAGTTGCTTTTATTGGCTGGATAATATTGCCAATATCGGCAGAAAATGATCAACCACATTTAAAAGAAAGGGTACTGAAAGAACTTTAAGGAACAAAAAATGTTTATTTGGTAAAAAAAAAGAGTTTTCCGATGTGGAAAGACATGTAACTAAGTTTATTCTCGTTCAATGTTCGAATGCAAACTCTTTGTACCATGTGCTTTTAAATATCAAATCCGGCGAATTCCATTTAATGTTAGACTATTATTATATACTTTACTAGTTATTTTATTAAATTTTACTGAAAATTAATTATTCAGATTAATTAAAATCAAATACCCTTCCTGAGCAACTGTAATCACCATACCATTTTATGTAGTGTTCGCACATTTCGGTATAGTGTTTTAAGAAGTTTTGTGTGTCTGTCCTACTTTTTCGCCTTTTTCATGCTGTCATCTGTTTTTCTTCGATTATAGTTTTAGACTGCCTCCTTGTCATTTTATTCCTTTTTTCAACCAAAGAAAAGAAAACCATAAGGTTCAAAGCTGAGCGAAACAAAGACAACATAACTTCAAACTCAGATAGTGATGCAAAATATAAAAAAGTAAAACAACAAAAATTACCGAACTCCAAGTGAAAATTCAAAACGGAAAGTCTCTTATCGAATGACAAAACCAAAAGCTGAAACACATCAAACGATTGGATAACAAAAAATTGTAATGACCAATATTCCTCCAACATTACTTGGTAGAATTAGGGAAGTTCAAAATGCACATATGGAGGTTATACGTGAAGGAATTTGTTTCATAATAGACATATTCAAATAAATTAAAAATAGTTATCTCTTAAAATTTACCAGAACATACCTGATTTCAAGCAATCTCATGAAGTTAAACCCAATCTTATTAAAATGTAGATCTCTAATTTCGTTATGCTCATACAATAAATGAGCAGGCGAGTCGTGAACGATCTGAATTTTAGGCAGATTGTTTTAACCCATGTTTTAACACTTATACATAACATTTTGTACGGTTTTCTTCATGAACTTATAAATCATCTATTATTGTTGTGAGATCTTCGCACCAATAGAAACCCGAACAGACAAATATGAAAATAAAATGAGAAAAGCACCAAAAGTCTCTGTCAGATCAACAACAGAGGGCTCAGTATACAATAGATGTCCACAAATATAATTTAAGATTAGATGACATAAAACCAATTAAAAAACTGGATAAATAAAGGCAACAGTAGTATACCGCTGTTCAAAAGTCATAAATCGATTGAGAGAAAACAAATCCGGGTTACAAACTAAAACCGAGGGAAACACACATCAACAATAAGAGGAAAACAACAGAAACAATAGAAACACTGAAGTGCGACAAAAAAAAACCCAAAAAAAAACGACAATGCAACATATATAGAAACGAATTATTAGACAACAACTGCAACTGGATAAATTCAACCACAATTATCATTTCTCACAATTGTATTGATATTTATAGAATAAAATAACTTCATTTTAAACATATTTATTCTTAATGTATATGTACTATCTTTTGGTTAATATGCCAATGTCCAACCAATGCGTAACAGATGATCTACTAGAATAGTGCTATTTTTTCTAAATGCCTTAAAATATTGTGTGGCACATTTAATTTTAAATTTTAATGCAAAATCATGGCCAATTAAATTTGAAACAAAAGTGGTTTAAATGCATTTACATTTTTGCTTCTATTACGCAACATTACTTGTAACATTAGCTGAAGTAAACATCAATATCAAACCTGCTTTGTTTTGTAAGAGGTTGCCTACTTTTACAAAAAGTAATTGATGCTGATTGGTAGATTTTTGCTGTGACACATACACAGTAATTTCGTCCTTGATACTAATAACTATAACTTATGTTTTGTTGATGGGGATTGCCAGTTTTCCTGCCGATGGTCGGTGGTTCCTTGAGCACTTCGCGGGCCTAAACCAATAAAACCTGATCGCCGCTAAATACTTTAGTAGCTAAAAGTGCTGAACCGAAAATTGCGTCAAACAACAACAATTCCTCAATCATCTTTATATTATAATTCATGTATATGTAAACTATTCAGGAAATGTATGTATTATTATTGCGAATTGCTAGAATTTCCATCTAAAAATTAATGTAAGTAAATATAATTGCGAAAGTCTCAATTTATTTACAAGAATTACATAGTTTGATAATATTAAATACCTTGTCCAGGCATAAAGAACATTTCAGTGGCTAGCTTATAGTAATTTTCACTTCCTAAGTCAATGCAAGATGCAGTATAAGCAACAAAGGAAACATATAAATATTGAAATATTGAAGTATCAAAGTTTCGCTCCAAAACTTTTCCCTAAAAGCATGAATGACCTGTTTATTCTGTCCTTTAACATATTTGCACTTTTAAGATTTGTGTTTTTCAACCTAATATCGACTACATACAAATTGTTTTAACAAAGAACAGCTAAAAAGCTATCTTTTTGCAGATGGCGTTATTTTGGGCAACTGCATGGTTGTTATAATTGGCTGTTTTATTAAAAAGAAGCGTAATTGCAGTAATCTATATCAAAAATTTTGGTTTTCATGTCATTTTCAATGTAATTTCTGGAAAACGGCGCTATTTATTAAAAATCCGACATTAATATTCCAAAGTGCTCTTGATAAGTTACTATTAACATCTGTTCTAACAGAATTTCATATGTCCATACAAAATATTATTATTCAGAAGACAGAATATGCATAAATGCCGACATCTTGTAAAATAAGAAGTTGTCTGTCCTTGACCTTTCGTTGTGATTTGACGGAAACTGCACCATACGAATTGTTGACGACCGGGCAAAAAAGATAGTACAGATGTTGTACTTTCGAATGATATATAGTTTAGCCGTATGTTAGGTGGGTGCATTTTATGGTTAATTTTGCTCGTCTATTTATTTGGCAATCGCCAATGGCAGTCAGCAGGGTTTAAGAACATTTATTTTTCGACTTGTAAGTCAAATCCGTTTTGTTCAAATATACTTTTTTACTTTTTTGGTCTTTTGGAAAATGTTGTTTGTGTTGTATTTAGACCCCTCTAACAAGAAATTTGTTTTGCATGCACACGTATAAAAATTGCGGTTTTTATCCAACGCAATCATAGGTTTGAACGTTGTTTTCAATTTAAACTTGTATATATATATATATATATATATATATATATATATATATATATATAAGTCTGAAAATTACACCCAACAGTGTTAGAATTAGACTTTTATGCTGACAAATTTTTGTCCCTCAACGGGATTCGAACTCACACCTTTGATACACTACAGCACCAATCGCTTAGCCTCATGTCCAGCGCTCTAGACCACACGACCACATCCGCTATAAAAATATAACTTCAATAGTCGTAGTGTTACCTTGTCACGTAAGGCGAATCTAGAGATAGACATAAGACATGTGTTTTAAGCGTGTGAAGATGTTATATATATCATATATACATGAAATGAGATCATGTGAGTTTCACGTGAATCTCATGTGAAAATCACGTAAATTTCACGTGAAAACCACATGATTTTTTTTTCACGTGAATTTTTAAAATAATTTTTTTCAAATAACATTTAAATTTTCAAATTTAATCAAAATCATGAAATATATCAATGTTGTTTTTGAAATGTTCACGTAAAATTCATGTGAAATTTTTTCACATGCAATTCACGTGAATTTCACATGAAAATTTTCACGTTAGTTTCATGTATAAGCTCGTTTGAAGTGAATCTAACATGAAATTGTTCACGTGAATTTCATGTGAAATTCACGTGAGTAAATTTTGCATGTGTAGTCTGAATCAATTTTTGATTAAGTTGGAAACATGACCATGCAATTAACTACTCTACACATAATCAGTAGAGTCTGATTATCAATGAACTCTCAGCAATGGGCGTGGTTTGTATACATTTTCTGGTATTACCGAAACACTACACGATTTAGTCTGATTCCAATAAGTAACCAATTCTTTTGGTGTTACGCCATGTGATGTAATGATATCATTCTTATAAGAACACGGAGTGAAGCCTGGTTTCATATTGTTAAAACCATGTAAATAGTTTGGTGTAACACGCATTTTTTTCAAGCACATTGCAATGTACACGTCCTCTAGATGAAAGAATGGAATATGCTCCGAAACTTGTAAAATAGTCAGGACTAAGTCCATACTTATAACGTATCCAGTCCCTGAACACATTGGAGGAAATTTGTCTTCTCTATAGCCTTTGAATGACACATACCATTTAGAATTTCTATTTCTGTGTGGGGTGGAAGGACCCCAGCAAAATCCACCTATGAACTTAGTTGGCGCTTTTTTAGTGAGAAAGGGGAGTAGATATGTATTTACATACATGTCGGTGTCTGTCTTCATTACGTACTTAGCTGACGCGCAATATCTCACGGCCCATGAAATACTGAACACAGTTTTGTATGTTAAATTTCCATATGAGTCGATATAGTCAATTTGCACAATATCTTTATATAATGTACTTTCTTCTTGCAAACCGGAATCCTTCGTAGAAATACGAGGTCCATCTGAACGATGATTTCCGATCACAAATAAGCACTTTATTGCCGTGTCGTTTCGGTTACATTTGGATCCCCATGATTTTCTTATGGCTTGTCTTTCATTAAACTGTTTTTTGGAACTTGATATTAGAATAAGAATGTCTATATCATGCGATTTCTCACAAAGTTTGTCCTGATTAAGAAGAATTTCAAATTCATGTCCAAAACACTTCAACGTTGACCCGTTTAGTATTGATTGATTCACACCATTTATGGCATATGTATGGTCCTCATCAATCATTCTTCCAGTTTGGGTATTTCCTACAGTATAAGATTTCACAGTGTTCCGTTCAACAATTATCCTTCCCCTGAATCTGTTAAACTGACCACTGTTTATAGCATATAGAGATAACGAAGCCATTAAAACTAGGGTAATAAAAGCAAGCAAATAATATCCAACAGAAGATTTAGATTTGTTGTTGTCCATTTCAGTCATTTTGTGAAAAGTGTAAGTAGTATTTCTATTGTTAAAATCAAATTTTAAAACGAATATGTATATATATATATAGCTTCACTTAAATATGTTAACGTTGTCTTTCATTTTCTCTAACAATTGTGTCCTCTTTCTGAACCAAAATTTCGGTGAGTTGACTAAAATATTTTCATGTCTAGTCAAGTCAAATTGAATGCTGTTAACATCGCTTGTCCAAATAAACCAGGAATGTCTTTGTAGGTTTCTCCATGTAATCAACTTTTGTAATGTAACAGGATACCAGATACAGGAAAGTTGATTTCAGTGTCCGTTAATAATCAGCTCCTGGGGAACAAATAGTCTGTTAATAATCACATAGTGTAGAGGCAATCCTGTTACATCTGCCTCTTGTGCTGCTGTTTGTTAAACTGGATTATTTTGTGGTTAAGGTAGATCCAGATACTAAAGGCATCGTTCATAGAACATGAAATCTATATGAGAAGCCGACAATTATCTGCAATTATAAATTATAAATAAAGAAATGAATTAAGATCACATGTGTTTAACACCAACAGTTTGCATTAGTAGTTGTCAGTGTCATTATTCAGGTTTTAAACGCGGAGGAGTCACGTAAATATTTTAGACTTTTTGATTTAATTTGGTCTTTCATTGTGCTGTTTTACTTGTAGTTTGCTTTTGTTGTCTGCTGTTCAAGTTTTCCAATATAGACAGTTTGCTGAGGTCTGAATTCGATTTCGTCATTTATAATTTGAAGCATTTTTTAAAAATTCTTCCTGAACGGGAAAAAGTGAAGGGCGAAAAGAAGACGTAGTTGTGTCAATCGGTAAACCTCGACAAATTCCGTTACTCTTCATCGTTAAATCCTCTAAAGGGAGGCGAATGTATGTCATCCGTAGTACCGATAAAGTACTTTTCTAGACCATTTAATTTTCATGAGCGTATTTATCTATTGGGAGGGGCGTGGAGTATTAAAATCGCACTGAAATAGTTTCTCTTCTTTCTAATTTTGATAAAAATGTAAGGGGAAGACCATTTGATTTTTTGTGTGAGTCCGGGAGAGGGATACTCATTTATACTATACATTTAAGTTCACGTTGCTAGGCCGGCTGAGTTATTTCGCGCGAAAATTTATTTCCAATTTTGTTAACAATTATTTCCTGCATTTTTTTGGGCATAATATTCATTTTAATACAGTACTATCTTTGGCAAAATAAGATTCCAGTTCTTACAAGGTCAAGATATTTATTTCCAAAATCCTCCTTCCCCTCAGAAAATCAATTGGTCTTTCCCTTATAAATTGAAGAAAGAAATTACGATAATACATTAATAAAAGACTTATCAAAATCTCAGATGAGAAATTAAACAAACGGCAGTTTGGATTTATTGAAAACAACATACCAGCTGATAGTATAGTTGTTTTATAATCATTATGTTATTACTGGCGTATACAAAGTAAAATGTATGCCTGCTTTGTAAATTTTAAGAAAGTCATTTGACTCGTTATAGACTGGTTCCCAGTCTGTCATATAAAATAGGTACGTTATGTGCGTTTGAAATGCCAAACATGTGTAACCCTAACACATTTTAATGCGCATGTCCAAGCAAGTAGCATGTGATGCCAGAATAGTTTTGTTTCGGACTGTGGCTTTTTTTCGTTTAGTATTTTTTTTTTAGCACAAATGTTTTGAATTGATATTCATTGTGTTATACCGGGTCCTTTTATGGCGTACTTTATGCGTATTGTTCATTTTCAATGGCCAACACTTAGGCTTATTTAAATCGTTGTCCTTTGGTCTTTGGATGATATTTGTATCATTAGTAATTATTCCATATCTCCTTAGTATACAAGGTGTAAAACATTAATTTTCTTGAACTTCAAAATTAAACTATCGTTCCGTCTGCTTTTATATTCTATTGTTATTTTATGATGATAAAACAAAATTTTGTAAATTTAAGGAAACATTATTTCATATTATGTATTATGAATCAAATCAGATAAAATGTGAAAAAGGTCAAAATATTTGTCCAAGAACTTGTTAGGTTTTTTTTTAGTTTTTTTTTTAATGAAATAAAATCGTTTTATTGCTTTACATGTGAAGTCGCAATTTTGAACATAGAAACAATAATTATGTTTATAACGCCATTCAAGTTTTAGACGTCATTTCCAAGTGTCAAATCCCTAATTTTCACTGGGATATAGAAATATGGTACCAAGTCTGAAGCTGTCAGGCAGTAAAAACTCTTGCTAAAGTCCGTTTGGCTGTGCGGGATATATAAATAAGCAGCCACATCTGGTCGGAAAAGGAACGTTAAATCCGATGCTTTGTGAAGGGTGACTGCCACGCTTTCTACACGTTAAAGATCTCTTGCTACAACTTTTTTAGGGTTCCGTAGGTGGTGTTTCTGTCCCTATCTATCAAGACCCATTTTACCAGTGGCAGTACTAATTTCCAGCCCTTCGCCCTAGACGGTTTACCTTGCAGAACTTTCCTATTCCATTTATTTGTATTTGTTCTCATCATGATTATGCATGAAAAATTCGCTACTGGGCGTCAAACAAACTATAATCAATCAACTTTGAGTGTTAGTAAGTAAGTTAGTAATCTTTATTTAAAGTCTGGTTTTCATATAAACATACAGATAACGCAGAAACATGAGCTCATCAAAGGTCATTTTTCGCTTGATATCTGAAGATCAGGGAATGAACAAATTTAGCTCTTGTAATCTGTCCTTACTGGTATTTCGCCAACATTTCAAATAAATAATATAGTTTCTCTTTCTCAATTCTTGACTGAGGTCCCTGTGCATCAATATAACGAATTTAAATGTAGTTAACCGACTGTTGATCAATGATAAAAATCCATCGTGACATATAATTTTTTTTTCTTTTATTAGTCTATAACTTTACACCCCAGTTCTATTGTTATACTTCATAGTTTCTATTTCTGAAACAAGTGTAAATTGAATAGATCTATTGTTACGAATAACAAAGGATTTTGACCACAGGGTGTGACGAGCGGGGTTTCTGGAAACCCCTGCTTCTACATCCCGCAAACAAAGTCCATTGTTATTCGTAACAATAGAAATTGATTATTTTTTAAATAGCATGAACATAAGAAATTACTAATAGTGTTCACTACAAATTGTTTCAAGATATTAAAAAACACATTTTAGGAAATTCCAAAAAAGAATAAAGCATCTATTTTGAATACAAAAATAATCCTTTAAAAACTCCTTTGCTTGAAGTAATTTTTTTTATCCCAGTCATATGTCTCTATTCTAAAGCATTGGTCTTTAAAAAAATGAGGATTCTAACTCCCGGGACCCGGGATCCCCCCCACCCCCCGGTTACCCATTGGCCGATCTGGGGTGGGTTTCCGCGGTTTGGACCCAAAAAGATCAATGCATTTGAATGGTTGGACCCCCCTTTTCTGTTGAGTTGGGAACCCCCAGCTGGATCAGCCCCTGTTTGCCCCCCAAAAAGGGAGTTCCTTAATATTAAATCTGTATCTTTGTATGTTGAGCGTGTCTGGTAGTCGGGTCACACCTATCCCTTAGTATGTCCGAATATGAATGTTTGTTTATTCTCGAGAAGAGGGGGGGTTATAAAACCATAAGATATAAAATACAATTATGATTACCTTTATTACACTGAAACCGGTCAGTACTTTGGGTTATAATATTGCCTTTATCTTAAGTCTCTTCTACCAAATCCAACGCTTGCCACAAAATGTCGTCCGTCTTATACCCGTCCATATTGACAACTGCATACAAGGAACATGAGGTATTGTTTGTTTGTAATAAGAATACACGAAACGGTCAACCTTGACCCTCTGATTCATATTAGCACAGGATTTAACGGGAATATGCAAAACAACTTGACATTTGTAAAAATATACTCACTTGTCAAAGTTTGAACGAAGGTAACCAAAGAAAGGTTACTAGTGGGGTTTCATGTAATAAAAAAAAATCTTATAAATCATGGTTTGGTATTGTCAATAAATATGCTATCGTTTTTTTATTCATTTAATAATCAATGTTAACAAATATAGGGTTTAGAATGGGGTGTAAGTTAGTTATACACCTCGGGATACGGTGTGTCTGGATAAGAAACCCCTCCGGCCTCCGGCCGACGGGGTTTCTTATCCAGACACACCTATCCCTCGGTGTATAACTATTACTTAAACTCTATGTTTAAGACTGTGTCAAAATGAACTAACTAACCACAAATATAAGTTAAATTCATTTACGTAATGATTACAACTCATTAAAATTACAGGTAGACGAATATAGGCAAAAAGCGCAAATGTCCTGTCAATTTAATACAGGTGTATCAAAATTTAAAGCGCAAATGTTCATAGTGTTTGGAGCGCAAATTTCCTATCGTGTTACAGGTTAAAAAAAACGCAAACGTCCTGTGCCTCAAGAGGAAATAGAAGGCTAAAAATGTAATCCACTTTTTACCTTAGATTTACAATTAGTTTCAAAAATATATTCACATGATGTTAGAAGCATTTAACGATATACCTGAACTTCAACATGGTAAGTAATTAATAAGATACCAACACAAAACATGTGCTTTGAACGCACACATAATAGGCTAACACTTTTATATCATTTATATAATTACGATACGTTTGCCAAGTCATTTTAAAGTTTTATTACTTCTTCTTATTTGTGAATTGTATATGTACATACACAATTTCGCTTTTAAAATAAGGTTAAGGTAAATTGTAAGACCTTTTGTCTGAATTTTGAAAACTGTTTTTAATTTGTTAAAATATTCGAACTCGCTCTCGCCCTGATATAGCCTTTGTGTGCTGATGCGGCGTAAATAAATCACTAGTCAATCAGTCAATCAATCAAGTCATTAAAGATCGTATTTTTTGGAATTAAAATATTAATTCGCTCATAGGGTCTTTGCATCGGAAATAAACACGTTTATTCTAAAACCTGTTGTTGGCATGTTACGGGTTATGTTCTTCTTGTATAATATATGATGGCGTAATACTTAACCCTTAACGGGAGGGATTGTGGTTTATTTTCATATGATGAAGACATAATCTTTCGATCAGGTTAATTGAGGTCTGGAGCTGGAACGTCAGTAACTGCTAGTAGTCCTTTTTTAATTTATGTTGATCGTTGTCATTTTGCTTAGCTTATCTGTTACCTATTCTAACATCGGACTCGGACGTCTTTTAAGCTGAGTTTTACTGTGCGTATTGCTATGTGTTTGTTTATTCCACATTGGCTAGAGGTATAAGAGGAGGGTTGAGATCTCCCAATGTTTAACCCCGCCGCATTTATGCGCCTGGCCCAAAGTCAGGAACCTCTAGCCTTTGTTAGTCTGGTGTGTTTTTTAATTTTGTTTCCTTTATATGTTTCAGAGTTTAGTCCATTTCGCTTAACTAGTATACATTATGGTTTAGGGGCCAGCTGGAGCCCGCCTCCGGGTGCGGGATTTTTTTTCGCTGCGTTGAAGACCCATTGGTGGTCTTGGGTCTTTTCTGCTCTTTGGTCGGTTTGTTGTCTCTTTGACACATTCCCCGTTTCCATTCTCAATTCTATTAATAAAATCTATATTCTTATAACCATAAATAGATTTAACTTCGTTTAAAGTTAATATTATTATTTTGTATAAATTTTCATTATCACTGACTTCAATTTTGTCATATCGATGATGTCAACAATACCTTTTAATTGAAGAACAACTTTAAGATTAATTTTTAGGTTATATTTCCAGATATTATAAATATTTTGTAGTGCTATAGTGGTTTTCTTGTATTTCATGAAATTCCTAATTTCTATAGAGTCCATTTAGAATATGTAATAATTGTGTTTAGAAAATTGTCATATTTGAATATTCCTGTGTTTATTCCTAACAGCATGTCATTTTCAACAATAGGATTATTTATTCCTATGTCTGATTGGATAAGTATTTCTTGAAGCTTGTTTGAAGTTAACTACAAATAAAAAATAAGTGTTGCAGGGTTTCTATGTTGTTGTCATTTTTAAAAATATGGCAGTGTCCATTTGATAGTTCATTTTTTGTAATCAAATTTCAGTATATAAAATATTGTGCATGGATCTCCATTGAAATTCTTTTTATTTTTTTTGAATGCTCATTTGTTTTAATCCCGACTAAAAATGTTCCTAATGTAAATTGTTTCCAAATATTTCCTACCATTTAATTTTGGAGATACGTCTTTATTTAGCAACGTACGAATATATTTGAGTTTTAGCTTTGATGGTTTTATTATTTGGTTGTTTAAGTTCATAATCTCAAGGTCATTTGATATCTTTAATTTAATTTCGTTATGCAAATTCTGGTTTCCGTGAGATTTCAAAATTTGCACGAAATCTTTAGGAATTGCCTGTTTAATTCTAGAAAATTCGGAAATACAATTTCTCCAATCAATAAGCTTCCTATAAATTCCATTACAGCTAATAAAATCAGAAGTTTCTGAACAAAATAGAAAAGTTCCCAAATATTCTCGTATTTAAAAAACATCTTTTATTGAATTTGGTATCAATATTTTGTATGAAACCGGACCAAGTATATATTTATAGTTTTCTGAGATTAAATTGTGGAAATTGGTTTCATATCTAAATCATACAAATTTGAACATTTACATACAAAAAAGGTATCATTATATTTTTCATCAAATTTCCATAGCCAGCGCTTACTTATTGCATTCCAGCTTTTCAATGGTTCCTGCAGTAAACGATATAAAAGTTTTATTTGAACATATCTATGCCTACATGTACCATACCCACCCCCTTTTATTTCATGCAAGCAGCAGACATTTCTGTCTACCTGGTTAACTTTGCCGTCCCATATAAAATTCAAAATTACATTATTTAGCTCTTTAGTATATTTATCCGGAATTCCTCGAATTCAATCTCGTAAGAACAAAGAGAAAGTATCATATTTTGTTTTACCTGTAAAAGAGAGGAGAAAGATACCAAAAGAACGCATAAGTCGAAAAAAAAAAAGACAAACAACAGTACACAAAACACAAAACACAACATAGAAAACTAAAGACTGAGCAACACGAACCCCACCAAAAACTGGTGGTAATCTCAGGTGCTCGGGAAGGGTAAGCAGATCCTGCTCCACATGTGACACCCGTCGTGTTGCTCATGTTAGTACAAACCCGGTAATAAGTCTAATTCGGTAGGTTAAATGTAAGCTTCCTACTTTTCTATACGTCTATACAATTTTAACCTATTTTCTCCATATATCATGTTCATCTATTTCATAACCATGACACACACCTAAGGTTTTAACATAACTTGTGATCCATTGGATTTTGTCAAATTTATGTCTTTTTCTTTTGGAAGCCACTAAAAGTAAGCCTTTTGTGCAATTTGTCATAATTTATTCTAGAGCCCGAAGCTTTTCATATAAGGTCAAAATCTTGAATGAATTTTCTATAGAGTTTTCTTTCTTATTAAAGAGGGTCTGGATGGGGTCCTTCATTACTGTATTCTTTAATTTTTTAGGCAATTTTTCTCTATTCTTTATACTTTTTTCCATTATTCTCTATTCTATATATTTTAGAACCTCAATATTCTCTATTCTTTCTTTTTTTGGTCCATTTTTCTCTATTCTATATATTTTTTGCCCATTATTCTCTGTTCTGTAAACCCCCATCCACACCCTCTTAAATACCTCTGTGTCGTCTGCACACATACATAATTTAGTTTTAAACCGCTTTTATGATATTTTATGAAATCATGAAAAGGATCGTGAAAGATCCGGTGTCGCTTATCTGTCATTGCCCAAATTATTGAAAGTGTTCAAACCATTTTGTACTTAATAATGAACAGTTGTTAATATAAATGTAATAGCACAGAAAAGACTGGACTTCCATGACTTTTTCCGGTTAACTTTTGGTGGGGAATGATTTGTTAGGCTTTGGTGGTTTTAATGCCGTTTGATATGATTTCTTTAATAAGACCATGCCGACTAGTCCGTGATGTCTTAAATCAATTACTGTATGTCTGTCCGTCTACATTTTTATGTCGTTATAATAAGTCAAGAATGTTTTATCTGATATAAATAATGTTTATGAACAGTATTTATATCTTTAAGAAGAAGATATCCTTGTCGATTTTCTTTTAAAAAAAAAGGGTGGAACACTTTTGTAAAAAAATATTCTTTCTAGTAAAAAAAGTCACAAACTTTGAGAAATACTTTTTGAGCTAGAATCTCAATGAAAAATGATAACTGATGTAGGGAATTTCAATCTCGTAAGAACGAAGAAAAAGTATCGTATCAAATTTGCGGCATGTGAAAATTGGGGGAAAAGTTGTAAAATATTAGTTTTCTTATGCGCTAGGATTACGACAAAGATGTTTAATTAGGTAAATTATAGAATTCCAAATTCATTTCTGGAGTCAAATTCTTTATTAGAAAGAGTTTTCGAAAAAAAAAAATCCCTATATTTAAAGAAACTCTCTGTTCTAGGACTGGATCGAAATTAAATTTAAAAGTGTATTAAATAAATTGATGATCGTTATCCGAATTGCTTTTGTAAAAAAAATCTCAAAATTTGAGAAACATGTTTTTGTGTTAAAAATCAGTGAAAACAATGAAAGTTATTATTGAAAGAAAGTCCTGTCTTTATTGGATTAGATAAGCCGAGCTAAATCGTTGACGTTCGAACTGAAAAAAGTATTTACAGTTGAGAGGATTAACACATCAGAATTTATGATTTTGACTTAGATTTGGACAGTGTTAGCTGTTATTACTAGTGCGGCGTGTTTAGCGTAAATGAATTGACGATACCTTCAGACTAATAACATATTTTAAAGATATATACCACGAGAAAAAAAAAAAACAAACCATATGGTCACTTATTATTTCCCCACTGAACGAGACCGGGTGTTTCCGCAAAATATTATTAGTTACATAGTGTGCTAGTGACCTAATACGGTATATATGGGGTCAGTAAATTCCATATGGGGTGTGACCTACATTGTATAATTGTTAATTTCTGTGTCATTTGGTCTCTTGTGGAGAGTTGTCTCATTGGCAATCATACCAAATCTTCTTATTTTTATAGTAGTTTTAGAATATATTTCAATTTATTATCATAAATACCTATGTATTGGGTTTTTAAATTGTTAAAATAAAAACACGTCTTAAATCGTTATTTATATTTAATTAATGATAATCCGCATTTCTTTTGAAATTCATATCAAAGTTTAATTCATTTCATTCAACAAATATCATACAGGATTGAATTTCTACTATCGATTGTGTAAACGTGTTCTCAATTGATCAGAAAATATTTGAATGTGGAAATGTTTTATGAAAATTCAAAATCCTCGACCTCGCATGATGAAGTACTGTCCAACTAACTATATGTTACTTTGTATATAAATAAATAAACTAAATAAAAGTAGTTAACATAAATCATTTGCCTTGAAATCATGTTTCAATAAATGATTGTTATATCGTCCTGCTGACGTGTACATCACTTCTATCTTTATTTAGCTATTGGTCGATTTTTTTAGTTAAAAATTCAAAATGTTTAGAATGAAATTATGTCACAAATACTGCACAGGCGATATCCATACACGGCTAATCGATTACATATCGATGTGAAATGGTTATACTCCGGTTATTTTGGGATATATTGTTTTGTAAAATAGTTGATCGAGTCACTGGGTTATGCTGTTAGGGTAAGTGGCAATGTTGACCTTAGATTAATTTGGCTTTAATCTTAAAGTCATATAATTAGATAAATTTACTCATCCTGCATAGCTTTCAAATGATTAGGTTTGATCGGTCCTCATGAAGGTAATTTCAGAAAAGCGCTGGGGACGCACAAAATTTATTTCATTCAGTTGGTGTAAAATGCAAATATCGGATAACAAAAATGTGTCACGAACAGGTTTCTTTAGAATAGATTTATCATTCTTTTTTTGTACTTTTTCGTCGAATTGATGAATTGAAAGCTTGAAGTAAAAATTACGACATCGACATAACCATAGTTATTTGCTATTATTTTTAACAAGACTTACCTGTTGTTTTTATTCAATCTGTCATAAATGGTCAACCTGTATTTTATGTGTAGCGTTACACCTGACTAAGGTATTGACCTTTTGTTTAAATAGCTTTGTAATGCTGTTCGATATTCTAGTGTGCAAAATAATCTCCCCTTTTCATTTATAAAAATATGTGTATTTTGTGGTAACGTAATTAACTTTAAACAGGATATTTATAGCATGTGACAAAACTAACAAAATTAACAAATGACTTGATTGTATGCTTTGATTAGAGACATACATGTACCGAAAATTTAAATGATTTTCAAATATGTATGAATATACAATGTATAATTTAAAGTTTCTTAATACATGTGTATATGTAGGGAACAAACAAACATGTAATTTTCATTCTTTATAACTTTGGTTGTTGCTTTCGATTTATGGGGACAGGAGGGGAAATAATGTTGTTAGTTGAAATGTTAATCCCCTAGAACATGTAGAACTGATATGAATCGTCAAAAAAATGTCTTCACGAAACTTTTTATAATTCACTTTACTGTATCTGTTTCACTCCTTTTTGAAGGGGGTTTCACTAAGGACGTACGGCGACCTGTAATAATGTTCATATCGTTTTATTCAATGCATTGTGGCACCGTTAAAGTCCACAATTCATCTAAAGTCGATAACACCGCTAAAGTCCACAACAAATTTCCGCTAAAGTCCATAACGCCGCTAAAGTCCTCAAACTTTCCGCTAAAGTCCACAAAATGACCTCCGCGTAAGTCCACAAGAAAACGCCGTTAAAGTCCACAATAACAAGTTCCGCTAAAGTCCACAAAAAATCACCGTTAAAGTCCACACTTTTTATTTTATCATTAAATTAAAAATCAATTCGCTTTCCCCCCCGTTAGTACAATAAAAAGCATGAGCGTTTATTCTTGGTAGATATTTTTTTTATCAGTTTGATAAATGAAAAAAGTAGAGTGTATGTAGAAGATTTTGTTTCATTAATTTGATCTTTGTATTATGATGATCCGATCAGTGAATCAAAGAGGCCAATTTGGACATCAATTTAAAAATATTATCTAGTCATAGAAAATTCGTTAGTTATTTATTTAACATAATTACTGCATTCTTCAAGTACTGTTTTTTTTTTTATTATTATTCTTTGTATATAATCACTTTTTGACGTAACTAATGAAATAATGACGTTACGTGCAATGACACAAAAAATCGGCTTTAAATTAGAAAAATACAGGAAAGATCAAGGGTTATTTTGTGTAAAAAATGCAAAGCACCTCAGAAATTAAGTTACAGATAGCATATCGGTTTTTATTTGGTCTAGTCAATCAGTTTTCCGAATACTAACAAGAAAATTCTCATATTTTTCGTGTAGACGGGTAACATACTAATGTTGTTCTTCGAGTATTCCTTCTTTTTTCGAGAACTTATAGGTATATAAACATAATAATACTATACCATTTGGAAGAGGAACATTAGGGCTTTGGGAAGGCATGTGTGTAAAACGGAAAAAAACGCAATTTTCGGACCGAGTAGGCCTTGAAAGAAGTCATTTTTGATTGAAGACACCAAAGAAAAGTATCACTTCCTTACGACACAGCAGTTCAAAATGCATTTATAGCGAAAAGATTATATTCTCAAATTTATGATAGCGCATATCCTTTTGTAAAACAAGTTTGGAAAACTCTTTGAAAGCAAAGAAATCCGATATAAATGAGCGAATCCCATGAAAACTTCAACATCATTACCAGAAAACCAATCCAAAAGTACACTGTCACAACAACGTTTAGAAAAACTTGTTCTATAGAGAAATCATCAATATTGATTAAAAATATGAAAAACTGTTCTTCTAGTCAGAAAATGTAACATGTCTCCTAATCTATGACATTTGAACGGCATTCATTCGGACAGCAATCTTAATTATA